TTTGATGGTGATGTTTGGGTGACCCAACTGGAAAAACCTTGAGGATCCATGCTCCAGAACCACGTTTTTGCAGAATGGTGTTGCCATGAAGCTGTGGATCTGTGATTTTTGTGGTTCAAGCAGTTGGCACGGACATGTTATTTGATTATATGGTGTGTTTGGAGTGACCCAGTACAAAACCCCCAAGGATCCGTGAGGATCCGTGCTTCAGAACCATGTTTTTGCAGAATGGTGTTGCCACAAAGCTGTGGATCCATGATTTCTGTGGTTCAAGCTGTGCCTGTGGACATGATATGTGATTTGATGATGAGTTCATGGTGACCCAATGCAAGAACACTCGATGAGAACCCATGCTTCGAAACCATGTTTTTGCAGCATGGTATTGCCACAAAGCTGTGAATCCATGATTTTTGTAGTGCAAGCTGTTTCCACAGACATGTTATGTGATTAGATGGTGTGTTTGGGGTGCCCATTGCAAATACCCCGAGGATCCATGAGGATTCATGCTTCATGACCCTTTTTTGGCTTTATGGTGTTGTTACGAAGCCGTGGATCCATGACTTCGTTGGCACAAGCTGTGGCCATGGACATGATATGTGATTAGATGGTGTGTTTAGGGTGATCCAATGCAAAACCCATGAGGATCCATGAGGATTCGTGCTTCAGAACCATGTTTTGGCTGCGTGGATTTGCCACGAAGCTATGGATACATGATTTCTGTGGCTCAGGCTGATGATATGTGGTCTGATGATGTGTTCATGGTGATGCAGTGCAAAACCCCTGAGGATCCATGAAGATCCATGCTTCAGAACCATGTTTTTGCAGATTGGTGTCCCTGTAAAGCTGTGGATCCGTGATTTTTGTGGTATAAGCTGTTGCCATGGACTTGTTATGAGATTTGATTATGTGTTTGGGGTATCCCAACGCCGAAAGTCAAAGAAGATAGGGACGGCAAAGCAGGGGTCGTTTCGTAGAAAAAGAGCTAGGGGAACTCATTAGCACAACTCATTAGCATATGCCACACCCCCTGACATCACCAGAAGTGTGTCATAAGGCCACACCCCCTGACATCACCGGAAGTGTGTCATAAGGCCACACCCCCCGCCCCCAACGGTCCCGGCCGCCAGT